TTGAGGTGATGTTATGGTTGAATTGAATCATATAGACTAGTATTACATGATAAAAGTAATAGTGCCCTCTCCATGACTCTAGCACAAAAGAAAAAGTTAGCAGATGAAATAAGAGACCTCTGGGACACCAGATGGCCGCTTTGCTCAATGGAAACACAAGCCGCCATAACTGTAACAGGGTCGTAGGTGTCTATCTGACGGAGTGCATCGCAAACTCATTGCTGTGGCCCATCTGGAGGATGGTGTCTTTGAACTTACCAATCTGTTCCTAGCCTTCACATGGAGTTGATGGCGACGCATTGTAAAGATCTCCAACTAGGTCCTGGTTTAGAAATACTTTGATCATGAATAACAATGCTTGAGTAGGAATTTTTCCTACTGGCCCAGTAACATTTTTTAAAATGAATATAATTAAATGAAATTATTAAAAAGCATGCGCAAGATGTGAAACACAACAATTACCCAAATAACAGTTAACCAGGCCTAAATTCTCTAAAACTGTACCTGAAGTCACTAGGCCATCCTTATTTACAGTCTCAGTAAATCAATAAAGAGCTCAAATACAGGAATAACGCAGGTACACAGAGTTTAAGGACGTACAGTTTACCGCACCAGACGTGGAGATGCCTGGAATGTTGAAATGGCATTTGATTACAGTTACGCTTAAAACTGATGACAGCAGAGGAAGAAATGCACATTCTCAGCAGGAAATCTTGAGGAAAACAAAAGCAAAGCATCAGCATCTTTTCCCACATTACACTGAGGTATGATAAGATCAGAAAGCATGACGACACACCCACCACACAGTACAATGCGAGAGGTATCTTAATAAGACGTCATCTAAAATACGATGAATAATGAAGCCGGCCGATTCGCCGCACAATACGGCACCTCCACAGTGGAGTTCTCCGCTATAAAGTAGCTACGCCTGAGGGAAAGGGAGAGCTGAAGAAGATAGTTAAGCGTCCCTGAGGGAGGAGCGGAGATTTTTGTGCTTGCTATCTCCCAAACACAAAGCCATGAGAGTAATATTTCACAGGAACAATTCGAAGAGATGTGGTGGAAAATTAGCCCAACGCATCTCGCTACAGAGTGCAACAAATAGCTAGCTAATGCATCAGTATATGAGAGTTCGTTTTAATGAGGAGATTCTCCATAGCAGTGTGCAGTACAAAGGGATCTTCTGAAGTAGTGCATTGTGAAGTCCAGTGTGTCTGAGCGGACTGTTGAATATTTCATGGCGGTGAGGGAAAGGGCACGAGTCGTACCGACGGAGCCCCAGCTGATGGAGGACTGGAAGGAGACAGACTGTACAGACTGTAAGGTGAAACTGGGAGAGGATGTAGGCAGCGCCGTGGCAGTGTGCCCAACTTTAGCAGGAGCTACTGTCTCAGCTCGGCCTAAAACAACACTACATCTCACAAGGGCTGACAGCAGCAATGTGCCTTTACTGATTGACCCGTACAGTCGAGAGTGCACTGTATCTTTTTCAACATTGTAAAAAACATTTGCAACTAAAAAATGTTTTAGTCATCGGTTGCATTTATATATATACATATATATATATATGAGGAAATTATGTCAAGGAGGACCCCTTGCTGGACCCCCTCATGGCTGTCAAGGTCAATAAGTCTCTTAAAATAGAGACTAAGATAATTTGACATTTTTTGTGATAAAGCAAGTTTAGTAAAATTTCATGTATTGCGACAATATGCCCAATATTTATACGGTTAAAAGAGAGCTGTGTCTCACATGACCTTGTTATTTGTACACTATATGACTATACAAATCACAACATGTAAATAGGAAAATGTTTGCATTATTTTTTTTTACGTATTTGGAATTAGTATGCTAGCTGTAGCCATTTACATCCAGTCTTTGTGCTAAGCTAGGCTAGCGGTGGGTGCGTCAGACAGATTTACAGTATGCACGGAGATGAAAAAGGTATGTATGACTTATCCCTGGGGATACGTTGAATAAGTTAAAAAAGTCGGAGTGTTCCTTTAACAAAGCTAAGGCAAGTAAAACGGTCAGGGTTACATATTAGACACACACACACACCTCTGAAGGGATAGAAAAGTCCTCGGGACTTAGTATGGCCGCATCACACGCAAGACGCGAGTTAGTAATGACATAACATTTGGGGGGAAAAAAAGAGTATATTATATAAATTATACTACATGAAAATAAAGATGTCACAATCCATCCTCTTGAGTCATTCCAGGCCATGTTATCCTCCCTAGAATCACTAAAACACATTAGGCGTGTGAAGACGCAACCCAGGATCTCAGTAAGTCGTCAGTTTTCATTCTCTCTGAACTGGGGCAAGTGGTTGCACTCAACGGTCAGAAGGCTGCAGGTCAGACAAATACTGCTTGGCAAGGTAAGGGGGAAGGGAGCTTTGCCAGAGGTGTCCATTACCGACAATCTGCAAACTGTGCCAAGAGCTGCTCTTCACAGCTTTATTAAGACGGAGACTGTCGCTGCATGGCCTTGCTTATTGTAATTCTATGTGGCTTCAATGCAGAGGATGATGCTTGGTGGGGAAAACATTCTCTTTGCTCACCACCAATACTCCCCTTTTCAGATAAACTGTTCAAACTGAGTTGAGAATCCAGCTGAATGGGATGAGTTGGCTTTTTTTTTTACCATTATCTGATATAATATCTGATATTGCTAATTTCTTTTTCGAATATTACCTTAAATGCATGTATAATATAGCTGTTTGTGAATGTAAAGCTCTGCAAAGTTTTAAAAATCAGAGTGCTCAACAAATAAAGTTATTGTCTCTAAAACAATCTACGTCACAATCTAACAAATTTGCCTAATGCCAGTATTATCTTCATTGGCTACCCGCGAACAATGTCTACTTTAACCCGCCCTCAAACACTTGCTGAGGCCTGGAAGAGTTTGGTTCGTGTTGTCAATATGAGAAGAGTCTGTTTTCAGCACTAAGAATTCACTTTGCATGACACTTTTCAGGCAATTCAAAAGGATAAGGATTCACACTGGAATTGATACAGAAAGACCAATGCCATTATTCGTATCACACACTGTGTATCAAGTGCTGTGGAAGCTTCCGGAGCTGAAATTCAGGTAATAGGTGCTTTTTTTTTTGGTGCTTTTTCAGTTTTGCTTCTGACACATGCTGTAAGCAGTAGACCAATCACAACAGACTGTGCCATATGACCAATCAGAGCAGAGTAGGCTTAAAGGAAGGACGGCCTTAGAGAGACTGAATCTCTGAACAAACGATTTTCAGACTCTTTGAGTGATGAGGTGATGTACAATGTATATTATGAGGGGAAAATAAAAATGTCCTTGGATGCATATAAACCTATTGTGGAGACCTCCAAAATAGCACACTAGGGGCACTTTAAATGTATAATTATGGTATAATTATTTTTTTGTATGGTTTAACACTCTTCTAAATGTTCTAAAGATGTTTAAATTACTCACAAAAATATTTAGGACCACTAGGCTAAATTGTAAATTCAGATACTTTTTGAAGTATAGTATCTAGTTTAGTACTACATACTGTATATTGTTCAGACAACCAAAATTGATGAAATGGTAACTTTTGCCATTACATTTCCTCACAGGAACCTCAAGAACTTCATTGGTCTGATTAGATCATTTCTTCCTTGACTGCCTAAGCTTTTGTTGAAGCACATAATCTCTTCCAACATCTCATGAGTCTCAAATGGGTTTCTCGCTCTCTCTCAAATAAACCTTTGTCTTTTACTTTTTGTGACTCAGTCTCAAATCTGAAACTGATTTTTTTTTTTTTTTTGTCTTGAAGCTAGCAAAGCAATTCGACAGATGATCAGCTTCAAAATGGCTGAATGTTGGATTTGCGAGACAGGAAACAGACTATGACTACTATTTCAGAGTACATAAAATTGTAGACAGAAAGCTCTCAAACATGCATCAAGGCCTGTGGGTTTTCCCAGTTATTTTTTATGTTGCAACCCACAACAACCAATAACTGATTTCATTCACAGCATAAAGCTAAAGAAAAGATAGCCTAAAGAAATGTATTTTTATTCTGCTTATGCAAATGTAAATTACAAATTTAACTTCATAATTTAAATTAGCCTACTGTATGTTAATAAGTCAATCACTGTAGCTCACCAGTTTCCTTCAATTAAAGGAGGAAATAGCCCCTCCCATTGACCAAAGATGGAAATGCAAGATTAAGTCAGTCCATTTAGTCAACAAATAAGGGCTTCAAATACAAGTAAAATATACGATACATTTTATAATATCATTGAAAAAGGCGGTAAAGCTAACGAAAATATCATGGACACCGTTTTTTCCCCAAAATATACACGCATATGTGTTTTGAGTCTGCGATTGAGCTTTTATTATCGTAACACACAAAACTGAGCATATACATCCATCCCTGTGTAAACAGGCACGACAGACTGTAGTAGCCCAGACAATCGCAGCATGTCTCCATTCAGTGCTGCACGCCCCTTTTCAACACTAACTGCAATTCTGAACCGCATTTCATCTGTGATATTGTGTATTAACGTCTCGAATCTCACAATAAATCATGGATGATCAATGCACACAACGCTCTTTATGGCACACACTCACACACACAAAAGCATTTGTAATCAAAGGAGAATCAATCGATTGAAACAGCGACCTACACGCCTTCAATTGTCTCGCTCATTGCTCTAATATGAAATTATGCAGATACTATGAGAAATCATGAGCGGTTGAATAGCAGAGTTTTATCCCAATTGAATGGATATATTTGATGATTTTTTCCCCCCCATTAATTGTCATATGTTGCTCAGCTGGTAGAGCATGGCACCATACGGGTTCGATCCCAGAAAACGCACATATAGCCTATTCCGATAAAATATAAAGCATGGCTTGATATATATAAAAGCATAAATGAATGTGCAATTTAACGCATCTGTTAAAATACAACGCCTATGTGCATTTCCTTAAATGATGCAGAATAAAAATACCGCACTTCAACTCACCTTGAGCTGCCGTTCCTCGGGTGCTGAAAACACTTGCTATCAAAGTGGCCACATACCAAATCATAGTACTATTGCCGACCAGGAATAATAGCTCAAAGTGCCCCTTTCAATAAATCTTTCATATTTAATTTCCTCCGTTTCCAGTCTGATACCCTGCTTAACATATCCTGTGCTCTCCTCTCTCAGCTTTTTCCTTCATTTTTTCCCCTGCCCGTCCTTCCTATGGCATCCTCCCCCGAAGAGACAGAGCACCTGCACCAGCGCCTTTATGGAAGACGGAGATGTTCCGAAGTGCAAAGTGAAACCAAGTGTGGGAATGTAGCCATTGGGTCCGCCCCCGCTGCACTCTGATTGGCCAGCGCCAGGCGCTCTGGGGCGTGTATTGGTTAATCATCCGCCCCCTGGTAGTAATATGGCATGGCAGATGCTCTTATTCAAGGTGAGTTGGAGTGTGCTGGTGTAGTACAACTGCTGCAGTATCATGCGCATTAACAGAAACCAAAGTCCGCACCTCTTTGGATCTTCTCTATTGTGTGTCTTTTTGAATGGCATATACAGTATGTTGTTCTGGGTCTATGCGGATACGGATGAGACTGTAACCTATAGTGCGTGTGTGTTTGATTGAGCTTTGACCCTTGTAGTTTTATATTCAGCCTGAAATGCGCCTGCAAACTTCACTTGTGCATGCACATTTCCTCTCAGGCGTGACATTTTGATTGTGATGGAATGGGTGCATCAACATTACACACACTAAAGCAAAGGGTGTGGCAACCAATATCATCAGCCTTTAGTTTAGATGTGTTGGATTATTACATTATTATTTTTTTCTGTTCACAGATTCTCTCTGTCTATACTTTCACTAATAGGGAAATAAAAGTCCTCGAAAGTCTCTAAAAAATATGTTTATTTTTAATTTTTCTGTTTGTTGGCCACATAAGAAGGTCAGACCTTTTTATTATTTGAATCTGACCTTTTTTGTTTACTATTCGTTTGATATGATGCTTGTGCAACCATGTTTGAGTGATTGTGCCATTTTCACATATATTGTGCAATCAATGCTAAGACAAACACAAAAATGTGTTGATATTATTTATCTGTTTTCCCACCATGCACCCATTGAAAAAGTTTAAATAATGTTATTTCTTGGCTGTCAAAAATGCTGCTTAAAAACGCTAAAGCTGGGGAAACAAATGTTCATTATTTTAAAAAATAAAAAACTAAATGTTCATTTTATGATAATATTTTATCAATCTACTAGGTCTCACAAAAGAAAGAGAAAAAAAACAGAGAGACAGATGCTTTTAATGCTTTATGACTACATTATTAAACAATGCTAGAATTCTAATTCATGCCAGTCATCAAATCATGGTATCATTAATCATCAGGACCCAGATTTTAGTTTTGATCGCAGTCTTGTCCTTGCCAATGTCAAGTTTTCTATTGTCAGGGGACACCGACTGCAGGGAGAGAGTTAACAACCCACTTACCATTTTTAAGCTGAACCTAAACTTTATTTACAGACAGAATGTAAACTTTTATTTTCAGAGACAGTTGTCCTTTGTGGTCTAACAAGGAAACAAAATTGTCCCATGAGAAAGCAATTATCTAGGATAATGAATGCTTTGAACCAGAAAATACAGACTATAAACCGCCCTCTCTGTGCTTGTGTTTGACGATGGTTCTGCTTGGAGGCACCACACATATACATGTGAGCCTTAACTACCCATCAGATTAATCACCCCTAATTGCTGAGGTTTATTCCCTTATTTATATGCCAAGATTATATCTGCCACAAACAAGTAACCATTAAATGTAGAAAATCCATCAAAACATACATGTATCTATATAGATTAAAAAAGATTATTGTCAATTTTGAAAACCAATCATCCCTGATTCTCATAATTTAGAAATAAGGATAATTCTTAATCCTAAAATAGAAAATGTGTCTGTTTTCAAAGTCACTTACCATTTAGATGACTGTTGTAGGTTTATGTTCCAAACAAGTGTACAATCTGGAAAAAAATATTGGCATTCAATCAGAAAAGGTGTTATGACAGCTGTAGAACTATAATTTGAACCATGCAAATGGCTTTTTTGCTATAAAGGATCTTTTGTTAGATGTAAAAGGTCCTTTGGAACCATATTTCCCAATAAAAAAACCTTATGTCCCATATTATAGTGTATTTTCATTGGTGGAAAGACTTATTAGGGTAATGCATGGCTTGTATAGTGTAAAAAAAAAACTGGTTATTAGACATCATTATTTACTGAACAAAATATTTTTTTATAATTTGGTTGTTCAGAGAGTTTCACATTTTTGAAGTAAGGGAGATGATTTTGTTGTTGAAGCTAATAAACTCACCTTTGTGGTTACAGAGTAAAATTCTCCAAGCTTATTCCATTTCATTTTGCACCAAACAATAAAGTGTCACTTTTCGCCCTATCCACAAGTTTCCTACGCCCCATGAGGCCTTGCGTCAAAAGTGGGCGCGACTTCCGGTTGGAAGTAAACAAAGCACGATTTGACATGCTTGACACTCGTTCATTCAACAGTTGACAGTCATTCAAGTTATAGCGATCCAAACTAGCTAACGATGTGGGAACACAACCTCAACGAAATTAAAAAAGGTGAAATAGCAGTACCTTTACCCTCCACAGTAGTTGATTGGGAGTATTATAATAACATTATTAATAATCAATACTCATCAAGGCATGGTGACAGACAGTTGTGCGAGCTGACAAACAATTAAAATAAAAAATACACACTTAGTCATTGTGCTTTGGAGTTTATTCAAAATTATAAATGAATGTGCTACTTGAATACATTAACTGGCACATTTGGTATTCTGTCAACACAGGCTTTGATCCTGAGTTTAGGTGTAACATCAGTAGAGAACAGCCAAACACATGCTGATAAAAGTTTATATAATATTAAGAATTTAAACAAATGTACACAGGAAGATTCGTCGTCTTTTGGGAGGTGATGGAAACTACAGTCGTTGGCAGGAACACTCTGATTTCGTTTTCAGCTGATGTTCAAAACAATCACGTTTAAGCCACTGAACTAGTTTAGTCCGGTTATACATACAACCGCGAACAGCACATGTTGTCCATGAGCTCCGTAACGACATCTCTCATAAAGATTTGCGTCTTTAAATATTAAAATAATTCTCCGAAAAACAGCTAGCCTCTTCGCTAACTAACACACAAAATACCATTGGAATGCTACTTCCGCCGCCTCACCGGAAGTTTCACCCACTTTATTTTTTACAGGAGCGCCCCTCGGAAACTTGTGGATAGCTTATTCCTTTACAATCCCTTTTCGACTTTAGATGTGCTGATACATCACCTTCTAATCATTGCATTTGCACAGAGAGAAAACATATTATTCACATACCCTTATTTTTACTGTGACCTATCCCAATTCTTTCGATCAGCTCTTTGTGACAGGAAAATATTGCACAGTTCTTCAAATTAGGTTAAAAACTGTGACAGACATCTTTAAACATGTGTGAATGTCTGTCCAGTGGCAGTGCTGTCATGGTCCAACTGTCTGCTTTTGGGCTTCATATGCCATGGATGAAGAGCCAAAATGCAATGGCTCTACTGTGAGTAATCCCACGTGATGACTGCAAGGGCAGCTTGAATTAGGAATTAAACAGCCTTTTTGCTTTTCCTAAGGACTTGCATGATAAAATCCACTGTGCTGCAATGAAGTTTAATCATTTAGCCTAATCAAAGTGGATATTCAGTGACTTGATCATATTAAAGATACACACACCAATCAGCATGATTTGTGCATGCCCGATAGTTTTGATAGCATAACTCTTATAAATAAAGGTGTTACGTTGCAGCAGACACCAATCCATACGCAGCATTTATTAGAAGTCAAACAGGCAGGAATTAAACAACAGCAAACAGGCCAATGGAGACAATGCAGAGACAAACCAGATACAGGCAGAGGGTCGAGGCAGGCAGCGAGAATCCAGTGAAACAGTCCAGGGTCTGGGCAGGCACAAAAGGGTCAGCAACGATAAACAATCCACAGGTCAAAATACAGGAAGCAAACAAAGGAGAATAACGCTCAGAAATGCTACTAACAGTAAAACATGACTTCGCAAACAGTGAATGTGAACACATGTGAACTAAACAAGATAATGAGAAAAGGTGAATTAGATGAGCGCTGATGAGTCCGGGCAGTGAGTTATGGGAAATGTAGTTTGTGAGAGAACCATGCTCGTCAGGTGTGGAGTGCCCTCTAGTGACTCTCAAGGGCACTCCACCTGGTGACCGTTACAAAAGGTTCTTGTTCCATGAAGAACCTTTGACATCAATGGAACGTTTTCAGTACACAAAAGGTTATTTGCGGTGGAAAAAGGTTCTTCAGATTTTTAAAAGGTTCTTTATCAGAAAAGAAGAAAAATACACAAACCTTGGATCTTGCACAAAACAAGATATTCTGAAGAATGTCGATAGCCAAGCAGTTGATGGGCCCCATTTACTCCGCTTTTTATTTTTACTTAATTTTTTTACCTACTATGGAAGTCAATGGGGTCCATGAATTGTTTGGTTACCATATTCTTCAAAATATCTTCTTTTGCGTTCAGCAGAAGAAAGAAATTCATGCAGGTTTGGAACAACTTAAGTGAGATATGATGATAGAATTTTCATTTCAGGTACTTTGGGGAACCAAAAATGTTTTCTTCTTTGGCATTGTTGCATTTTTAAAGAGTGTATCAGAATATTTAATGGTCAGATTGTTAGGAAAATTTCCCCACTAAAAAAAAATAAAGTTAAAAATATGAGTAATTCATATTAATTTTATTTATTTATAGAGTGTTCTAAATGAAGGTGAAAAAATATAAATATATAATAAATATATTTGTTATATTTATTATTTTTTACTTTAATATGTTGTCATATGACATGGTTTTATTGTCAATATGTGAAGTTTCATAAAGCTCCCAATCCATTTTTGGAAAATACATAATGGGAATGTCATTTTGTCCTTAATGTCTGCAAAAATGGCTTAGTATTTTAACCCTAGTGTATTTATTGTTGAGGCTTATGCTCTTGACACATTCTCAGTTTCTATAGGGATGTGAGGTATCCAAGTAAGAAAAGACTAACTCTTGGCAACTGCAGCTGTGTTACGTCCCCTGCTACTGATTCTAAGCAGTCTAAATTTTTCCTTCAACTTCATTTGTCCATTTAAAAGAGTGGGTGTAAGTATGTAAGCGTGAACTGTGCATGGTGTACATCCACTAATGTGGCAAGAGAGCGTGTTTTCATGCTCCCAGTTCAGGCATGAAATTGCAATGATATGGCTGTTTTGTCAGACAAATATGCATGATTTCAGACATGTAGCTGTTAAAAGGTTTTACATTAACTTTGCTGTGA